ACATATAATGGTCAAAGATCCTTACATGACTCGGTTTCCTAATGGAGTAGTAGAAGTGTTAGTTGAATAACCTCATTGTTAAACATAGCCAATGAAGAGGTATTCATACACTATTGTTTATCAAGAATCCTGCTTATTTATAAAATCTTGTTATTTGTGTGTGTGCATGATCAAGTTGATCTCTAAGTGACCAAAGTTTTTATTCAATTGTCAGATGTATGTATTAAGCTGTTACATTCCATAGATCAAGATGGTCTAGTTGTTGAATTTCTCAAGAACAATCTCAACAATGGCATCCATCACATCTCATTTGTGGTATGGTCATTCCTACCTTGTGCAAAACATTTGTAATTTTTTCTCAATAATTTTTAAGTCTAATTTATCACTAATCTATTTTTTAAGTCAATAGTATCAACTCAATAATATGCTACATAGGTGAAGCAAGTATAAGAATATTCTTAATTACAACTCCAACATAGAAGCAAGTTACAAATTTGAAATGTTTCAACAATCCAAAGATAATATGGAAATTCTCATCACATTCCAATAGATAATAAACTGCTCCCACTATTGTATTATGGTTTAGCTACCATGTAAATATAATACATATTTACATATTTAATATAAAATTTATTATACAATATAATAAGATCCACCTTTATTAGACATTGGTTACTCTTCAAATATTATTTTGTTTATTTTATTTGATGTTTAGTGCACATACTATATAAAACTTATTAGAAAAATGATAAAAGAAGGATTTTGTGTAAAAATAGGTAGTTAGGCCAATCACAAGGATGAATGGAAATGGATGATAAAAATCTCCATTCTTACTAGCTAAATTCATGTCCAATGGACTTCAAGGAGGTTGTTTGAGGCCTTATTAGGAATTAAGATTACTTTGTTGAAATTGTTTAAGTATTAGAGGTTATGATTGTCAAGTTTAGGATTTTGGATATGGTTTTGATGAAAATTTTATGTAATATGGAGTTTTTATGAAGGAAATATAGGCACTCAAAGTCAAGGTATTGATTTTGTATCTACTATCACTCGTTGGGATATAGCATATGCATATGAAGGACTTTTGATGATCAAATTCTACAATTGGAAAGCTGGTTTAAAGAACTATATTTTTCAAACAAAAGACAAAAGGTTTGAATTTGATTAAGAGGATCCATGATTGCTTGAAGACAACACTTTCAAATTGAGGTTTCTTAGTGAACCAATTTCATGAGAGATTTGATTTTAGCCATTTAAACAAATATTTAGCTACAAATTTATATAAATATGTATTATTATAATGTAAAGCTATATACCAACTTTTGTAGTATTTGAACTTTGGATTTTTGAAATGTTGAGAATGAAGTACTCAAGTGCTTATAAATCAAGGTTTAGAGCATCTGCTAGGGTATCTAAGATGCCAAACAATTGGAAGTAGATTTACGGTACATTTTTTGTAGTAAAGCTTAAAGATAAAGCCTAATTTATCTAAAAATTTGAGAAAAACTAAATGATTGGATCAAGAGATATGAATTTATAAAATTTGGTGGCAAAAAATCTTTTGTGGAAGAAAAATAGTTTGAAAGGATTTTGCTACAATTTGGGCATTTTATGTAAAGTAAAGGGATTATTGGGAGCCAAGACTTTATAAATATGTTAAAAATGGACATATGGAGCTATGACAAAATTAAGGTATAAAGATGGATATTTATAAAGAAATTGTACATTTTCTTTTAGCTAATAAAAAATTGAACTTACTAGCAATTAATTATTTATGATTTGGTATAAAAAAGGATGTTAATGTATTTTTGGAGGATTTAAAAAGCCTTGTATACAAACCCTCTTATATATTAAAGGTTTTTATTATTAGAACGTCTTTCTATATTATTATGTTTATTTATCTCTTATAATAGAATAAATCACTTATTATAGCCTTGTTAATAAGTTAAAGCTAAATTCTTTATAGTTAAGTATTTAATGTATTTTTAGAAAGAAAATCATGTTATATGACATTGTGCTTACATCTAAATAACTTCAACATAGGCTTGAACATGTAATCATGTTTTTTTGTAGGACATTGATCGAATAAGCATTTGTGCTTTCAAGCATAATTTAGAATATAACCTTTTAGATTTTATTTCATAAACAAATGCTTGGTGATGGCTCAAGTCTGCTCAAACAGGCACTTAATATTATTGCAAACTAACCCTTTCAATATTATTGCAAACAAATTTATATTGTTAGGTAGATAAAATTTGTAGTTTCAAGTTTTATTGTAGATTAAGTGAATTTGCGAAACAAACATAAAAATATTAGTCTCAAATCTATAAAACCTTAATTATGAAACCTTTATTATGAATTCTTATTGAAATACAAATCTTGAGTACATTTTCTTTTCTCATTTATTTATTTTATTGTAATTTCTTTTTAAGATGTGTACCTATGTTTACAAATATATATATATATATATATATATATAAACATCCATAGACATGTATAAAATAAAATTATATAATAATACATAAAATAATTACTAAAATTAATATATAACTTATTGAAAATAAATTGTCAATTTTCAATAAGTTGAATATAGAATATTAAATATTTAGATTAAAAAAATAATTATAACCAATGGAATTAAAATCAAATACTCCATTGTAGAAATAATGCATTAATTTCTGTATTTTGAAGTATTAAACTTAAAATTGGTTCTATTTAAAGATGTACCTCATTCTATCTAAAATAATTTGACCATTTATTCATATTGAAAAAGTCGGCTCCAATGATGCTACTAAGAAATATTATTCATTGCCAAGGACTTTGCAATAGAATCCGATTAGTAATTACATGACTAATAGATTGTGTTCTTGAAGTAAGAATTCTTTGAGGAATTTTTTTTAGAAACTTAGTGTGTAATCTACAAATTATATTAACCGCTACAATAAAATAACTTTCATTAATTTTAAAGAAAAAGAAATTTCGAATTTGTATTCTATTTGTAATAACAATAAACAAATTCCAAAGTCGATTTATGAAGTACATTGGTTTGGATTTATGACAACTTATTTTTTTCCCTGATCAACTTTATATGGTACTTTCTTGATGCTCTTTCTCTAATTCTTTCAAGATTTTTCCCTTAAAAAATTACAATTTAAATTCCATACTAAATTGTATTTTTGTGAAAGTTTTAATTAAATGAGTATTAATTATTTATATTTTATATTTTATATTTTATATTTTTATTTATTTTTTATTGACTTTTGTACATCTTTGAATGTTAACATATTTTTGTGATATTTTAATATAATTTAATGTTTTTTTGTATTTTCATAAGTAGTTCTTTGAACAAAATTAACTTCATTTTTTGCACATTTTTCATGATAATAGCATGGATTTATCTATTCTACTTCATAGTTGAAAGCTCCATTGTGTATTTTATTTCTTTTTGTTTACATTTGAAAAGCATTCTTTGGCTTAAAAAATGCTTTATTTAAGTCACACTTTCCACAATAATGACATAGATTCATCTAATCTATTTAGATAATAATTAACAACTATGTTCACACTTAGAAGAAAAGTAAATAGATTTGATTACTTACTATCTAATATTTAGAAGCCGTGGTTAAATATAATCTTAAAATAATATCATACAATGCTTTAAATGAACTATTATAATATATTTGGAATATTTCTATATGTTACATAAACACAATCCAATTTTAGTCACATAAGTTTTATGCATAAAAAATAATATGACATAAATTATCAATTTTAAAATATAAGATCTAAAAATTTTAAAATTATACATTTAAATAATTAATTGGAAGAAAGAATCATTGTAATTGATGGAAAAAATAAAATAAGTTGATTTGATAAGAATAAATTATAAAACATAGAACAATATAATAATATTTATCAATTAGATGACATATAAAAAATAAAAAATAAAAAAGAAATAACAAGTAAAAGTGCCAAAAGTATGTAATATCTAGCAAAAATAGATATAATTAATTAGTGATACAAATCAATTAAATAAGAGAAGAAATTTAGTAAAAAATTATTTTACAATGCTTTAAGATTATGATTGTTAATTAAATTAAGAAAATATTATAATATAGGAAGTCAACACATTTTTTTAAAATAAAATAATAGAAATTTTTAACAAATCAATCAAATTATTTATTAAAAATAAATCAATTAAAAACTCAAAAAAATAAAGCTAATAAGTAAAAAAAATTAAAAATTAATTATATGAGTTATGTATATATATATATATATATATATATATATATTGAACACTAGATTTATTTTATATTTTCCAAAAATTGAAGTTTAGCTAATTTATTTCAATAAAATATTCAGTTAGGATTCCAAGAACATAAATATTTCTAAGATAACAAAATATTATCTTTTCTTTATAATCAATATGAACTTTCTTTAAAACGTTTATAAAAATATATATAATTTTTTTTCATAAAATATATTCTATTCAAATTCACATTCTATGGATTGATTTTGTTAAAAAAAAATCACAACATGTATATACATTTATTAAGAGGAATATTAAATAAATCCCTATTTTTAATAAATAGATCCACCTTTGATAAAGAATATGGTAATCATAATGAATGTGGTTAGTTTTTATTGGGTTAAAATTTATTAGTGGAAAAATGAATCTACATGTCATTTTATTTATTTATATTCATGATGATTAAAATGGATTACTTTAGTAAAAACTTAGGCCTATTTAACATTCACTTTATTAATATTATCTATATATTAAGATTGCTTAAGGAGAGAGGTGGTGGCTCTCCTTCAACATATGCACTCCTCTTGATTTTCATCAAAAAACTTCACATTCTTTGGAGTTCATAAACTAAATTTTCACTAATTGTTAACTATTTTTGAATTTAACTGCTGAAGTTTAATTAAAATACAAATCTGTAAAATCTGTGTTATGGAACTCATGTCATTGTCATGGATTGCATGCAACATCAATGTCTCATCAACAAAATGTTGGCTGTGATGAACCACAAAAGCTCCAATTTTAGATTCCTAAGAAGAATCCTTTAATGGAGCTTCTTATTTAATACTTGTGTTTGCACTCAAAGCTTCACCAACCCAAGAAATGTGGTATGAGAGTGAGAGATGTGGCTTATAATTTGAAGCATGTATATGCTTTTTGATGTACAGAATAGGTGCTAATCAAAACTTGTTGAAGCTTTTTTTTGAGACGTTAGAATTAATTGAGGCAATTGTTTACAAGAAAACAAAGCCAATTCACCATTCTCAAGGAGTGAATTGTTTTAAAATTCAATTTGAATTTAATATAGAGCTATATTTTGACGGAGACAATTACTACAATTTCACATCCCTTGATGAGTTGATGCATACTTTTTGTATTTATTATTCTTATTCTTATTCTTATTACTATTACTTCTTCTACTACTTAGATTGATATGGATTTTTCAAAACCTAACTAGAGTGGACTATTTATGGTGGAAGATGGATTTATATAATATGTAATATTTATACAATATGCATCTCCAACAATGTGCAAAGAACCCTAATTTAGAGATGAGACAAGATCCATATTTGACAATCCAAGAGGCATCAATACTAAGCTTATTTGATCTACTTTCATTGAAATATAGTACATTCAATTTCAAAAAATCCAACTCATGGCACAACTACTTAGGAATTGAAATAGGAGTTGTGTTTTGTAGTTCATGTTTGCACCTTCTCAATGATTATGTTGAGCGACAAATAAGTGAATTCATTTTAAAATTCTAAAATCGAATAAAACTACAACTTGGAGGTGCTGATGGAGCAGAGTAATATGATCAAATAAATTTCACATCTCTTTTGTGCATGGAAAAGGATCAAATAGTGGGATCAATAATGCAAAGTTTTGCTCCAATCCGAGAAGTCACAGTAGAAGGGAAATTGAGTATTGCAAAGCTAAAAGATTTACTTGTAATCCTTTGCAATGTGATTCAAGAGCCATGAAGAATGTGGGCCATGGCCCTTTCTTGCTTAGCATCTACTAGAGTAGTAAATCCTAAACCTGTTGTGAATTAGTAGAGGCATGTTTTTTTAGAATATTTTTTTTATTGATTTTTAATGAGTTTTTTTTAATGAGGTAACCTCTTCTATGGTTTCTTATAATTTAATACATTAAATGAAGCTTAGTAGAGTTTATCTTCATTTTAAATGTGAAAATTTAAATAAAGTTTTTTTCTATAGATACAACAATCTTTTAATATATTATTTTTTTTATTTTTAAAATATATAATATAAATACTTATAGTTTGACATTGCCAAATTTATATCAAATATTTATATATGATGTTTTTTTTTCTTAAGAATGACATATTGAAATCAATTAAAAATCAATTTTATATAAAATTATTATAATTAATTTATAAAATATTACTTTTATTCAAATCCATGTTTTCAATTTTCAAACCTAGGTCTAATAAATCTTATTATATTGTATGTTTTGCTGATTTTGTTTGCAAAAGGTTTTTGTAAAGAATGGTCTTTAAATCCACCTAGTTATTTTCACTCTATATTCATCATAGCAAAGTTGCAATAAGCAGATGCTCTCAAAATCAAGACCATGTTTTAAAGCATAAGAATATAACCTTCATATATATGAAGACAACAAAGATATACTTCTTAATCCACTTATTGTCTGTGATAGTATCACCAGCATTTAGGATTTCTTTTAGAAATTAATTTCATCATACATGCATCTTAATGATCTTGCTATCATAAATGAGATCAAGATAGATGGAGAGAAAATCATACTTCACTCCAATATTACAGCTCATAGTCTTAACAACTATATAGAGATAGATAAAGTATTCTATAAATTATAGTAAAAACAAACACATAAATAAAGTAGGTAGATTGAAAATACAATCTTATTGGAAGATTAGTTGAAATACTCAACTTACAAAACCTCAATAATCAATTACTAATACTTATCATATTTATCATATTTGTAATTAATTTTTAAAAAATATCATATTCATTACTTTCTTTAAATTAAATAGATTTTAGTCTTTAAATATAAACTTATACTATTAAAATTTAGAATTAAGAAAATTATTTATTTTTAGTTTTTAGTTTTTATTATATTCATGATTCAATGCATACAAATACTACTATATCATGCTAAATCCATTGTAATACATTAATCTTCTTTTGATACTATTATTTTTTAAGAATGTATTTTATAATTGAAGCCATATCTTACATATTTCCAAAAAATTTTGTTATGTCTTCAAGTAATATAGTGTTCTTTCCAATTTTGTTTTTTAATAATATAGTTAATGGATTTTTTTACATTTGTTAAGAGTTATAATCTTATAGACATGTTATTTCTTATGGCTTTGTCTTAAGATTGATACTTTAGTGATGCTACTAAGAAATATTGCTCCTTGCAAGGAACTTTGCTATAGAATCTGATTGGTAATTACATGACTAATAGATTGAGTTCTTGAAGCAAGAATTCTTGGAGGGAAATTTGCTAGAAACTTGGTATTCATTCCATGAATTACTTAAACTTCTACAACAAAAGAATTTGTATTCATTTAGAGAAAGAGATTTCTAATCCATCTTGCATTTGCAATAACAATGAACAAATCTGAAGGACAATTGGTGAAGCACATTGGTTTGAATCTATGACAACCTATTTTTTCCCATGGTCAACTTTATGTAGTATTCTCTCAATGTACTTCCTCCCATTCCATCAAGATTCTTCTTCCTAAAAATGATAATTAAAATTCCACTCTAAATATTATTTTTTTAAAAGTTTTAATTAGATAAATATTAGTATTTTTTTTTTGTACTTTAGATTTTAATTTATTTATTTCTTGACTTTAGTACATCTTTGAATGTCTTAAACATATTTTTATGATCTTTTAATGTAATTTAATATATTTTTAATATTTCCACAATTAGTTTCTTGAACAAAATTAACTATTTTTTTGTATATTATTTGTGACAACAACATGGGTTTACTTATCCTACTTTGTACTTAAAAGCTCCATTGTCTATTTTATTTCTTTCTATTTGTATTGTATTATATTTGTATTGTATTATATTTGTATTTGAAAAATATTCTTTGGCTCAAAAAATGCTTCATTTGAGTCACACTTTTCCTGACAACGACACCGGTTCATCTAGTTAATATGTATAAGGAAACAACAATAACGGGGGGATGCTTATGTATGGGTTGAAATGAAGTTCAGACCCGGAAGTTACGAGGATGTGTGGGGCACGTAGCAGAATCGTGAAGAAGGGGAGTCTTGCAGTGCTGAAACCCTAGGGCAGCACTACTTGCGAAGTCTCGTCGACCCTGGAACTTCACGATCGCATCACGACGGGTGTGGCGACGCAGAGGAGAGGAGAGGTGATGTTGCTCCCTCCATCGCCTTCTTTGCATTCTTCATGTCTCGTTTCCTCGTTTGCGATTGGCTTCGTTTGTGAGTCTTTTTTTTTTTTTTTTTTTTTTTTTTTTGTCTGTCTTGTTTCTACGTTTTGTTTCGTTTCGTCTTTGGAAATGAATTCAGGTGTAATTCGGTCTGGATTTGCGTTTGTCAGCTGTTTCACTGGTTCTGATTTTGCTGCTTGGATTGGTGGTCATCGGTCAATGTCGTTTTAGAAAGGATGATGATCTCCTTGTTCAGGCTCTCTAGTTTTGCGTGCAGTTGATGCGGCTGGCTCTTCGGAATGTGATAATCCAAGTTTTTAGAGAAGGAGTCAACCTAAATCCTGGTAGCAGAGGCAAAACCCTGATTTAAGGGCATACAGATCTGGCTTTGTCAAATGCGATTTCCTCATCTGAAGCTTCGTTTTGTTGTACAGCTTCAAGTGTTGTTATTTCGTCGACGACAGACTTGACGATGGATACTTCGACGGAGGATGTTGCAATGGTGGATGCTGCGCTGCCTTCTATTGGTGTATTGCAGCTCATCAAGGGAGCGCAAGCCCAACATGGTCTCCGACATGGTGACTACCAGCGTTACAGGTGGCTCTGAACAGTAGTTTCATTTCATTTTAACTTATCAGTTTTTGAGGACAGAAGTCTGTGTATAGCATCTCCCACTCTTGTCAGCATGTTGTATAGCTTTCTAAATTCGCAACTGATTAGTGAATGTAAATTAGAGTTAGTTGTTGCTGAATTCCTGAAAATTTACAAAAAACTTACAATTTGTTGCAGGAGGTATTGTACAGCGAGGCTAGCGAGGCTGTACAAATCTCTGAACTTCACGCATGGAAAGGGAAAATACGTGAAGAAGCCGATTACTGAGGCCACTGTTACGAACGTTAGGTCCCTTTCTGTCCCTTTCTGCCGTTTTGAATGCCCGACTTAAAATTTCAGTGTTTTAGTCCAGTCCTGAAAAACACGTATCAAGGCATATATTTGGCTAAAAACCAGACCGGCAGTGCATTGTCATTATCTGACTTTCCATGAAATGTAAATTTCTGACATGATCACTTCACTGCAAGATATGTGCTCGGTATTTTAAGTATGCCGTTACTGATACCATAAGACGTGCACTTGTCTTTTTTTGAGGGGAGGAAATGAGTATGACTTGTTCTTCTGACAGTAGGTCATTTTGTTCTTATTTCATCAGCAATTCGTCACATGTCTGGGTAAAAAGCCTTTGTTACACTGTTCCTTCTCAATCAACTGGTTCGCACAGCTACAAGTTACTGTTAAAAGAACGATGACAAGGTTGTTAATTTCTGCAGATACCTTCATATAGTGCTGTATCTGGCTGAACGAGCCTGGAGTTATGCTATGGAGTTAAAGCAGGCAACTGGAACTGGATCTTCCCGAAAGCGTATTCACTTGATTCGCCGCCTAGCGAAAGCTGCTCGTTGGGGGGAGCTTTTTTCTCAGCTTTGCACCAGTAAAGCAGACTCACGGACAGCTTTAGAAGCAGCTGTGAGTTAGTATTTTATTCTTTGTGCTGTATTTTGTTTTACGATTTCTGTGATAGCTGTACAAATTCATTTTCACCATTTGTTTTATGTAGTTTTTGGCCTACATTGGATAGGCAGTTTATGTTTGATTGTAACTGCGTCTGGATTGTATACATTTTCGGTCGGCAGGCCTATGCAGCTTACATGAAGGGCAACCTCTTGCTTGAGCGAGAAGATGATTGGGACGTAGCTTTAAAGAATTTCAAGAACGCCAGGTATGACTTGATTTGTATGAGATCATTTGTTTGGTTCGCGCCTGGGCATTTAGCAAGAAAACAAGTTGCAATTTGCGTATGAGTTGAGTGCCAAGCTTTTGTTCAAGGAAGTACTTTCCATTTCTTTTTTAGATTCCTGTAGGGTTGATTTTATAAGGCATGTTTTCACATTCCTCTTTTTCAGAAAAATCCTCTCCCCTTCCCCTTTTATTTTATTTTACCTAGTCACGAATTTACAATACTGCTTCACCAGAGCTGTTTATGAAGAGCTTGGGAAGTATGGTGATGTCGAGAATCAAGTGCTTTGTCGACAACGTGTGGAGGAGCTGGATCCTAGCATTCGTTACTGTAATTACAAAATGGGAAATGTTAATATTCAAGGTTCTGATCTTCTTGATCTGAGAAACCAGGAAGGGCCTGGACTGGATTTGCTTCAGTCAAAACTTCAGGTATCAAATTGTGATATACCAAAATAGTACTCGGATGAGATCTTGGCCACAAGACTGTTAGATGCATACTCATTCTGTGTACATCCAAGCCGAATTGATTTAGTCGTATTGAAGGTCACAAGATGGGGGCCATTTTAGGAAGTTCAACTTTCTAATCTATTTGCTCCTAATTAAATCGTCTCTAGACTGAACGATTTGGCCGTGTTCTATCTACTTAACTTGAACAGTAGCAACAACATCTGAATAGACGCAGGAACTTTTTGACACTCTCATTTTTCTTTGAAAGCGTAGGTCCTGATTTCAGAAGACAATCCTTCATGATCAGGTGATGTTCATTGTATCCTCAATGGTAGGGTTTGTTGATTCGCAGGCGGTGATAGAAGAGGCACGTTCGAAACAAGCAGTTACCATAACTCAACTTGAATGGCTGGAGTATAAGCTGCCTGTCAACAATGAGAAAACACGTCTGTGCATTGTGAAAGGTACCAAACTCTAATTAAGTTAACATGAAAGGGCCTGGGTTTAGCAATCCGCTTTCAATTTTATGTAGCTGTTTGATTGCTGTGTTTGTATTAACATGCATTTTTGGATTGAGTGCAGGGCAAGAGCTGGAGAAAGATACAGTAGAATCCTCCTCAGATTCGCTAACCACGGAAAAAAAGCTTGCTGTTTATGACAAGATTTTCGTTGCATATCAAGATGCTAAGAGGCACATTCGTGATGATCTGGTTCGTTGTTTCACCTCGTTTCATTGTGCTTCGTTTGGTTTTAGGTTGCTTGAATTTCATCTCTGTATTTTTATCTAGGTGCATATTAAAGTGTACATTACATTCAATTAGCAAACTGTTGAGGCCCCGTGAAGCCAAAATTGCGATCGCCCTTCAAGTCCAACTTTGTTTGCTTACATGGTCTAAAAACATGTTCATGATTTTTGAAAGAAGAAATTTGGCCACAATTCTTGCGTGGCAGGTTAGGGCTGTGAGTACGGAAGATGTCAAAGAGGAACTCACACTTCTGGACAAAGCTGTGAGCAGCATCCTGCTGCAAAGAACAATTGACCGGAATCTAGTTCTGGTTGCTGGAGCTAAAGCACGTCTGACCAAGCAGCAGCAAGGTTCACGTGAAGAGAAAGGAGAGAAGCCAGCCAAGCCTGAAGATCTAGTGCGCTTGTACGATATTCTTTATCAGGTAAATATACCTCATGAAATGTTCCGTCTAAATGGAGCACTAAGAAGGGATGCCTGTCACGATTTAACTCATATTGTTTGTTAAAACTTGACCATTCGAGGTTGTGTTTGGAAGCTTTGGTTGATGGTTTAGGCTTCCTACGTGTATACCTCCTGGTTTACTCTTCTGTACAGTCCGCTAACAGAAATCTGGAATTTGCCCTTTTATGTTGTTTCCTGATATCGCACTTGGATGGTCATTTAGATGATGGTTTAGGATTGGAAATCCGGTTAATCTAATCGTCTGTACAAAATCTGTTGCTTAATCATTGTTCGACTTCTTTTTTTCTTTGTGATTGAACAGAACGTTTCAGATTTAATAGATCTTACTACGTCAGGCCGAGAGCAGAAAGCAAGTGAGGTTGCTTTCGCCAAGGAGCTTGAAGTCAGACGAGAAGCCTTCCAAGCAGAAAGGTACTACATCAGGGTTTTGTGTTCTTATGCGATAGCAAACAGAGTTCGATTAGATGTGATTTTGACAGTAATGGTGTGCATATGGCGGTACATGTCATAGTACTCGTAATATCAACTTGCTATGTGCAAATTTTTTGAGTCGTTTATTTTGTGGTCTGTCTACTGCAATCTTATGGTTCCTCTTTGGTTGAAACTAATTTGGCTTGTGTTTGGTTCCTCGTCAGTAGATTATCTATTGTTTCCTCGGATCATTCTTATATAATTTTCTAAACTACGAACTGAGGGTTACTTGGTTATCTCATTTGGGAAATTGGTCCTTGAGTGCACTCAGATGGTCATGAGGAAGTTCAACTTATCAGCTGAGTACTTTTATTACGTTCTGTTGGTTGCAGGTGCTTTTATTTGGCCCAATTTTACAGCGTTGCATCCAAGTTTCCTGAGGCCTACCTGCTATTCAAACGCTCTGAACAACGTGCTGACTCGGCTGCCAAGAAGCTTACCTTTGACAAGGTATTTCATTTGTAAACTACATCTTATAAACAAGAAAAGGAGTTACCTGACTACGGTCGACTTGTTGCGCATGTGTTCAGGGTGATCCACAATTTTTTGGAATTTTTCTGCTCGCTTCTGCTAATTAGTTTAAGGTTTTATCATTATTGTTATCATTATTATTATCATTAGTCTTGCTATTTTAATTCAATAGAATGCTACTGTTTACGATGATGTTTTAAGGGTTAGTGTGCGCATATGGAACAGAGTTTACGCCAGGAAGCTCAGCAATTGAAAGAAAGAAGTAGAGGAGAGGCATCCCTAGTGCACGCCCGGGCGGTGGCTGATGATTCGAAAGTCCACGAGTCATTACAGAAGGGAGTGGCTTCAATGAAGTTGAAGGAACAAACTTCGAATGTAAAACCCTTGGACCATTCTGCAAAGTCCTCGTCATCTTCGTATCTTTTCGTCCTCAAGTGAAAACTTCTTGCTGAAGCTGACAATTTTTCCATGATGTCTTCTCTACTTACCTGCTACCCATCAGTTGCTGCCGAGGTGAATTTGTTTAACATGACGAGCATTGTGTTCTGAACTTGTTTTCAGGAGGTCCAGTTTTTGGTGGACAATTTGGAGAAATTCGAGGCATTTGTTGGTGCTTCGGGGTCAAAGGATCCGCCAAGAATAGCTCAGATCCCACCTCCCTTTCAGTCTGTGCCTTGTCGGCCCATTGTTTTGGATACTGCACTTACCACCCTGGAGTTCCCTTCTTTGCAAGGACGACTGAAGAAGTTGGAAAAGAAAAGCTCCTCCTTTTTTGGGTTGTGGAATCGTGGTAAATAGCTTGGTACGTGATAAAGGGTATAAAAAGATAGTTTTGTAACATGTTTTTGTTCCAATCATGTCTTCATTTGAGTCTTTTTGAATTTGGTGGTGTAGTGGTATCAAACCCTTCTATTTCATCCTTCAGCGGAAATTAGAGTAAAATGTTGCATGAGGTACATTAACTGTTCACTGATATCACTGGGAACCGATTATTTTTATAGTACTTGAACTCACATTCATTGGTGTGGACGTGGATTTTCCGACCACCAAAGTTTGGTTGACTTTACTCTCTGATTTGGATGATGACTGTCAAATCCAATGAGCTGTCAATGGGCAGTAAAGTTTTAATACTTAGAATGTAGTAGTTGTTATAAGTATTTATAATGTGATGTCGAGAACTTCTGAAGGTTGAATGCAACTTTTGTGCACAGATTGAATAAAAGTGTTACTAGCCCATCTATAGAAGTTAGCCCATCTATGGAATGTCCTCTAATGTATTGATTCTTTTTTTCCTTTCCTTTTTTTTTTTTTGTTTTTTGTTATGTGTTGGATTTCATGAACTCCATATGAATAGAACATATGTTTTTTTTTAGATCCATTTATTTATTTACTTTTGCATGTGTGGCATTACTCTTACAATTCTATCAACATTTTAACTTCAAGTCCAGTAATATTAAACAATTGAATATATCGAATCATGCTTAGTTGACAATTTTGGACCATAAATACTATCTCGATCATTCTTGTGAGCATGGAATTGCTGTAATGTTTGAAATCCAATATCTTTTTCGTTAACTAACTTGTTACCAATCTAATTTCATACTCTTGAAGTGATCTGGTAAAATAGGTACCTACCTTGCACTCCGGCCTTTTTATTTCATTTGTCTGTTATCCACAAAGGTGGGCAATCAATTGTTAAATTACACCCTAAAATATTGGCCGTAGGTGTTCAGGGTTAAAAGTTTAAGGTTTCAAAAAGAATTACCCCAAAATATTTTCTGGACAATGAGACAGAATTAAAATTATGTGAATTTTTTTGGTAGAGAGTCATTTGGATTCTCTGGTCATCCAGGTGCAAACCCAGTTTTGTTACCTAGCAAAACGATACTCGGTTTGCACCCATCGTTCAGTCTTGCAGCGCACAATGTGCTGATCATACTGTGTGAAAAATCCATTTCATATCATCATTCAACGGTTACCTTTCCACACTTGTCAGCGGCGACTCAAAAAAACAAGACGCTGGTAGATTCACATCACCACAACGCAGAAGAATGATGGGGTTCCTCAAGGGCCTCGAAGTCCGAGTTTCAAATTCCATAGCTACAGACAAACACTGTAACACATCGTGCTAGAATCCCCGATGGCAAAAGCCTACGGATTCCTGCTAATGCGCTCTGGTTATCAAACAAACAAAGAACAATGCTTAACACAACGTAAACATAGCCAATAATTCCAAAGCGAGTTTCCAGGTTTTCTAAGGAAAAGAGTGTCGTTGCTGCATGGCCTGACAAGAAGAGGAACACGGACCCTAATAAACATGAGCCTCGAGAGTTCAGGCTGGCAAACAAGAAAAGGAGCAATACAAATCCCTGAAGCGACACCCTGAAATTGAATAGATGGGACTTACTTTCAGGAAGGGCAACAATCAACTCCGACATGATGCCAGGAATCTCCCAACACCGGGAAGACAGGATAAGCAGTGAGTGGAGTTGGAATGGAATGGAAGAGCACCAATTGATTCAGGAGCTTCAATCTCGGCATTGGGACCCACTAAAAACAGAGCTTCTTCAGGGTTCTCCAAGTCCAGCAGCAACAACAATCCAGTGGAGGCGTGATGGAAGCAGAGCATCCGATGCTGAAATGACGGAGATCATATCCCTGTTGCATTCGCGCCGTGTTTGATGCTCTCGGAATTAAATCTGGATTTAAATCGGAATTCTTTTTTCCTTTTATTTTTCTTTTTAATTTAATGTGGGTGAGGTAGGATTCCACTTGTGGGTCACAACAAAGATGAGGTCCCAGGTAGTTGAACCAAATAGGTTGGTGGGTTGAATCTCAACAATAAAATTTGAACCGCTCTAAGTGGAAAAATAACAAAGTAATAGTTTTTTGCATTTTAAAAAAAACTTAAACTAGAAGAATAATGAAAAAAATGAAATAGGAGTAGAATATGAGAAGAAATAGTAAAGATTATTTTTAGAATTACCGAAAGAAAATAAATAGTGGTATAAAAAGATCTGCAATAATTATAAATTACCAAGGAATAGTAAGATTATATCAATAGGTTGATAATCCAAATCTCAGTTATGGAATTTATAACTTTGATGTGTAGATGCAAGCACAAAGATACTAACTTTCTTATGTTTTAAAGAAAGAATAAAAATAACTTACAATCTTGTAAAACTAAATAAATTACTAACTCTTAAACAATAGAATTGAAATTGATGATTGAGAATCTGCTTTAGTATGAAACTGAAAACATCATGCAGATGACATGGACATCTATGTGTGGATAAAAAGAAATTATTTAATACACATATACCATGTAGTTAGAAAAAGAAATCTTTTTCAATGATTATTGTGATTAATAAAAAGAAGACATTATTAATTGTAATATAATTAAAATTTTAACTTTGATCAATTTTTGATTCATTGTTATTTATTATGAAAGCCACTTCTATATATTTTTTATGATATATTAAAGAGAATAAGTAGGATACATCTTATGAAGTGGATTCTTAATTAAGAAATTATTTGGAATTGAGGTGTTTAACTTTAAACTACCTTAAGTCTTGAGACTTAATAAGTTGATTTTCTTCTAAGTTTTTCATTTCTCCTTTCATTACAAAAAACCTCTTGTTTTAAAGATAAGAGTAATATAAGGTGAAAATAAAGCTTGACTTTTATATGTTTGTCGATCTTAGTAAATATTTGATCATTTTATTTGCTAAGTTTATATGCACTATTTTATAACACATAGCAAATGACTTAAAAGATTTTGTTCATAACTTTAAATATATTACCAAGTCTATATCAAGATATGGAGGTTGTTATGTCTTTCTTATTTAAAAAAAAAATTAAGTTGCTACATTTTGTTGTTTTCAACAATTATTATCTTAGGCTTATCAAATTTCTTAATTGTGAGTAGTTTTACATCTAAAGTTGTGATATTTTTCAATATTTTTCTTGTGACATCTAAAGAATATTTTTCTATGAAAGAATGTGACATCATCAAGAGTATAACATACTATTGTACAAAGTGATAGTACTTCAATTTGAATTAGAATGATAGATCTTAATTCAAAATTAAGTTGGAATATAATAGATATTTTTACAAACTTGCTTATTATAAAAAAGACTTTAAGGAATTTACCAGCATGTTTTTCGATGCTTTTCGTGTATTTGAAACATTTTTTTCTATAATATTGTCCAAAATTTTATAAATCTATTTCAAATAGTCTATTTTCTTGATAATAATAACATATATTTTTTTTATTTTTGTTTAATAAATATTCTTTGCTATAATTGTTTTATGAATAAGCTGACATTAATCTAAAGCAAGAAATCCTACTTAAATATAACTTTTCGCAACAATTTCTTACCTACATTGCATTATTGCGAAAATATTTGTTAAGTTAGTAATGTAATTAGTGAAAAAAATTATATATGGCTTTTTTTGGTAACTTTCATTAATTACTTATTTAATTTAAATTAATATTATTATAATTCTTGAATAAAAATAAATAAATATAAATTATAAAAATAACTATAATATTTAAATATAGTTTGTTAAAAATAGCCATCTATAAAAGACCACATTCAATACAAAATATCAGATACACACTCTCAAGTAGCATTCAATAATAATAACATATGTTGCTATCATGCTAATTGTATTCTAGAATATGCTTATGTATCTATGTCAATTAATATATTATGTATTTAAATAAAATAAAAACTATTTTTTTGATTTTTTTATTCTACTATTGTACCTATTACAAATCTAACTATTTTAAATTACTTAGATGTGATATTTGATAAAAAGTTTTAAAAAATAAAAAGTATTACATTAAAATCTATAATTTTTTTATTCAAGTATTTTTTATAGTCTCTTAGTACTATAAATATACATAAATAGACTATTTTTTAATTTATTCAATATTTTATTATTAGATCAGTTTGTTAAAAATTAGTCATGAATGAAAAAAATTCTAATCTATATATATATTTTTAATATAGATATATGGTCTTTAACTTTACATTTAACAATAGGCTTCTTGCTTGCTTGCAAGTATAACAAATTTCTATATTATTAGAGTGAACAGAATTATAAAAAAATAAGTAGAAGTATGTGAAATATTTTAGGTGAACAATATATTCTTTAAAAATAATTGATGATATTTTGTAGACATAGATCTTCAAATTTCTATACATATGTCACATGGCTATTCAAATTTATTTCATGAGTTTTCTATTTTATAAAGCCATGCTAGAAACAATAAACTTAATGCTAAAACCACTATTCTTATGGTCCTTAGAAAACTTTTACATGACCTTCTTAAAAGTTACTATATAAAGAGAAAATAGTGAAGAAATCTTATACCTTGTCAGAGTGTTTTTTATTTTAATTTATTTTAATTTTTTATTCTAGACTTAATTCAAGGTATTTTTTTATTTTTTATTTTTTATTTTTTTTTGGCTATAGTTACTTTGGTTTTAGTTTTAGTTTATTTATTTATTTATTTTTTTCTCTTTTCTTCTTTCTTTAATGATATATAAGTATATTGTCTAATAAGTTATATCAAAATTCAAGTCCTTGATATTTATCTATTTCTACAAGTTTTCATTACTTGTAATCTTACTTAAAAATTCTTAAAGTTTTTATATTTAGGAATAGATATTTCATTACCTTTACTTTATGAATAATTTTTTTTTCTTTCTTAGTTAAATATGCATTTATTGCTTCTATAAAAAATTTAACTACAGTCATGCATATATTAAAGAAAAAAAAAAATTGTATACTTTTTATATATATAAAATTTTCAATAAATAAAGAAATAAAAATAAAAAACAAATGATTAATATTTATTTTATTAACACTTTCAAAAAAAAAATTTAGTGTGGAATATAAATTTTCAGTTTTAGAAAGAAAAATCTTCATAGAATTAGAGGAAGTACATTGAAAGAGTACTACATAAAGTTGATCATGGAAAAAAATAAGTTGTCATAAATCCAAACCAATATACTTCATTAATTGTCTTTGGAATTTGTTTATTGTTATTACAAATAGAATACAAATTGGAAATTTCATTTTCTTTAAAATGAATGAAAGTTATTTTATTGTAGCAGTTAATATAACTT